ACACACACACAAACATGTTTGCTGGTACTCTCAGGTTCAGTTTTTGCATCAAGATTGAAAAATACAGTGCAATGGTAAATGTGTGAGACTTTTGCCAAGTTTGTCAATACAGATCAAGTAACTGCTGGTACACATACTAGCCTAAAGGAAAGATACTAATAATACCCATACACTCAGTAAATTTTGTTCAAAGATCTCTCCATATTAGAACACTGTAAAAATATATTAAAGTAAAGACTTCAGCTCCTTAAAAATGGGAAATTAATTTACATTCCCTTACAAATGCAAGCCATGCAATCCTGCACTACTTATATATCAAAAATTTCATGGAAGAACTTATGCTAATTTTCCATTTCCAATTTCCTGTCCAACCAAATTTCTCATTCAATAATTATATAATTCTGCCCCCTACATTTCAGCTACTACAGGCAAAACACCATGATATCCATAGCCACATTTGTAATTTTCACTGTTTCACAAACTCTGTTGTCAGTACAGCTTTTATAAAATGCAATTATCTAGACTAGATTATTAGCGGGGACCAAATATTGGTTCTAGAAGAACCGGAAACAAAGTGAACAAGAATATTCAAGCACAATAACAAACATCAAGGACAATCAGCTCATAAAATGAAAATGCTGATCTTCCCAAGAACTTGAGTTATGTATCAGTTCCATCATTACAAAAACAGTGTTAATATTCTGCTCAACAATTAATAAAATATGGCTACAAACCATTCAAAAGACTATGTAAGGCATGGAGAATTGATGGGATTCAACACAAACTTTCATACTGCAAAATTATTTGCAAAGAAAGTAACTGAAATAGTGAAGCATCATTACTTACAGTTCACTATGACCAAGCTCATACTTACCAATACAGAAAAGTGTTTACCACAAAATTTGTATCCACTTTTAAACTCTCCTACAACGCCAGATACAAACTAATCTATACTGTGAAGTGCTGCTTAGTAAGTACCTGTAATAATATTACGCTTTTCTTCTAACAAATAACGAATTATATAAACCTGCATAACATTTCTAAGGAGAGCTTCCCTCTCCCTCCAATATGATCCCGTAATGGCAAACTTCAAATTCTTAATTTCTAACACGAATATTAAGAGTAATCATTATTTTGCACATAAAATCAGCATCTAGAACTTTGTCATTACATGACATATCTGTTTCATTCCACAGCATACTGACTGTGAGTTTGTTAATTCTTTCAGTCACAGTGACGGGCACAGACACGTTCAACCATAACCCAACTGCAGAACTGCAGCTGCACCTCTAATAAGAGTCTACATAATTCAAATTTATATATTCATGAAGATGTACGATGAACATTATTTGTCAAATACACTCTTCTCCTGCTTACTGAACAAATTTATATGAAATCATCACTGCTTTTACATTTCAAATATATCACACATGTTACGTCACACTATCTCAACCTGCGTAAATATTACCGAATATTACTAATTAATTAAAATCCTGTAACCTTAATTGAACTTAACATAACCAAACTCCCACCTTCCCCCTTCAAACTGACCAACCTGACAAGCCAATCCAAACTATATCCTAACATTGGCAGCACTTACCGGCACTTACCACGCTTACCACTACATCACACTTTTGCTGTTTGACGCGAACTGTGTTGTCATTGGCCCAAAGTCTGCTACGCTTACAGCGATTGTGATTGGTCAATGTGATCACGTGGTTTGGCGATTGGCCTTTCGTGACATCTGTCGTCCGGATTATGACACTATCTGCAGATGGAGGCAGTTTTTAAACTGCTTTTGTTTATTGTTAAGATACATTAGATCTCTGCTGACTAGCCAGAATAGCTACGCTGTTTTCAGGCTAGTTGTCATGTGCAGCAATGACCAGGCTAGGTTATTCCTCAGGAATATATATGCTTGTTCCACAGTCATTAATCTAGCCACTTCAAGTCCCTATCAGAACCTAAATTCTGTGATAATTAGACTGTTCTTGGGCTGGACAAATTTTGGCCTGCTTGCTGTGGATGAGGGATAGGAGTAATGGGCTACTCAAGCCTGGAAACGTAGGAAAATTAGGCTTTTCACTTGCCTTACCTAGGTCTCCTGCTAGTCTGGCTTAGCTATCCTATGCAAAGCTCATGGTGGCTGAATGCCCTGGCTGTGCAGTTCAGAGCAGGATCAAGTCAGCCTTAACATCTCACATTAATATTAGCTAGACTAGGTTCAGGCTACATGACTGAGGTGGAGTATTTTTCTAGTTTAAGGACTATGGAAAACTTGGATAGGCTGTACTGGTAAAGAAAGGAAAAAGAAAGGTAAAGCTATCCCATTAACAGGCTGTGTAGGCCTGTAGGGTTGTGAGTCTTCAAGGCCCCCACTTTTGTAGAGAAGAATCAATAACCATCTGTACGAGATCTCTGCATTCTTAATTTATAAAATATGGGCAGAACAGAGGAAAATGAATGTGTCAAATAATGTATATTGTATGGGCATATCTGATATCAGCAAAAACTTCTATTCAATATAAAAATAAAATTTATTTTTCTGAAAAATCCTACTCTTGAAGCAGCTGTATATTCATATTTTACAAAACTGCAGGAAACATAAGATGGCAGTTTTTCCTGGATTTCATCCTTGTAAACAAAGCAATATCCATTTGTGTTACAACATGAAACAGTTTGAGAAGCACAAAATTATAGGATTCTTCAGCAATTTTACAGTAACATTCCTTCTGTAACAAACAACACTACTCAAAGTCGCAGATATGGTTCAGTGCCAGTCAGTATCCATTTCATTTTCCAAATTAATTTCACATGTATTCCAGGACAAAGAGGAAGATATGCCACTTTCTGATGTAATAAGAGCTTCAGAGAATTTACCAATTTAACAAAGAATTACAAATCTTACAAATTCTTATGAGGCCTCTTTCAACTACAGTAATGCAACCAGGGAATTACAAATAGCTTACCTCAACCTGGTACAAAAGGCTAAATCTCTTTTTCCGTGTTAATTTGTGTTGTGCCACTTTTCTGCCACATCTCAGTGAACCACTGATGTAAATGGAGCCACAGAATTCATTAATGGTTCACTAAGAATTTTTTCCATGATTGTTTGTGACATACCACTTTTTATGTCTTAGTACACTACTGATTTAAATAGAGCTGTTTCCACACAGCCACATGAGTGATCAGTGGTTTGTTAACATATTTGCTAAGAAACTTACGAATGGTCTCACAGGTGTAAATTTGGTACTAAAAATGAAATTACAAAATCTTGATTTATATGTTTTCATTTATACGTAAGATGAATCTATCCTATTAATTAGTATAGTAAACCACAATTACTTGGCATGTATAGAGAATGGGGTCTGCCAGTTACATGAATCTGCTGTTTTCATGAGAAAAGTTCTTGCCGAAACCTAATTTATAATCAAAATATCACATTCTTGCTTTAGTTCTTGCATGGACTATTCCCATACAGTACTGCAGATTGACAGGTGAAAGATTTTGAATTCTCAATAACACAATTTCAACTAGCCTCTGCATAATGGGTAGTGCTGCTAGTGGAAGCTGGGAGGACTAGTGTATAGTGAGTGAAAATACACTCATAATTATTTTAATGACTTTATAATTCTCTTAGAAATTTTTGCCAGCTGAATGAAAATCCTGGATGCCTGGATAGCAGACAAACAGGAATTTACTGTACTTGTAAATTGGTAACTCCAACTCAGATGGTATACCTACTTCTTTCTATGGATCTACAATAATATTTTCATTCTGGTACACATTCACAATGTACACTCCCCTTTTACTGTCACATATCACGGAGAGCAGAAATCAGCACACAGTTCTGGCATCTTAAGAAGAACAGTTCTTTACAGTTTCTCATAATGAATTGGCACAGGCAAGACGATAAAGCCTTAAAATAATGTCCTATCTTCAAATTAAGATCTCTGTATCACAGAAGGCTCATCTTCACGGCAATGTGGGATCCAAGAATCTTCTAAATGCTGTTACCTTCTGCTATCTGACATTAGTCTTCTCTTCCAAATAAACTGGAGTGACATTCGATGGTTTGAATTTTCTGAAATAAATAATATTCCCTGTATTAACATATCACATGTAACTGATAAAAATAACTGTCATGCTTGTTCATAACTTCATGTTACAACCCCTGAACATGAAATGTTAGAGTCAGACAGAGGTATGGATGTAGTCCCAAAAGCAAAGAGCTGCAGCACTCTGGCACACAGCTCCAAATTGAAATAAATGGGCGGGAAACTTGATTCGAGGCAGTTCTCGTCACTAACATAGTGCTAACTTTGTTCCTTTAATTGCAGAAACCTTTAAAACACTGATCATGAAAACTGTGTCTTTTAAAGAGGCTGAGAATTCTATCTCAGGCATAGAGATCAAAAATGAAATAATGTAAAAGGGTTTTTACATTTAAAGTCTGTAAAACCTTCAATAAAAATATTTTTGAAATGATCCTTTCAAGAATTTTCATGAATACAGAACTGTACTATTGAAGCAAAATTGTAATCTGTGAAGAATGAATGAAAGAAGCGTAGATTTTAATAACAAGTATTGAAGTTTGACAACACTGTCCATGATAGAAGCGTTAGGGCAGTGCCCCAGCACCCAAACTGCAACAGGGAACCATCCTGGACCAACCTGAAGTATCTGCACACCTAAAAACAAGGTATAATTTTGGAACCAACTTATATGAAACTATGCAATCTGAGACGCATGGGACAGTGAATACTGCAGTCTTTTGGTGTGTGATGGTCTGTAGCTTGTTAAATACCAATAATGACAGAAGAACCTGCCACCTGTCATCAACTGCCCAAAAAACAGAGGCAGCAAAGTTCACTTAAAGAGATGGTAAACAGTGTCCAAATCATCTCTGACCATACATCATACCTTGGGTAGGCAACCTTATGAAGAAAATGGGATCTCCAGTAACATGATTCAGGTTCCAACTGTGTGCTGAAAAAAGAAACTAGTTTCCTTCTGATGACAATGTAACAATCTACATTAGGATATGATGATGATGGACCCTCGAAAGGCTTTATCATTTCATTGAGACTTTTATTAGCACTACAGTATTCATATTTGTGTTTCTAGAAGTCTTACTTACGAATACTCTGAGTACGGCAGTCCAACGACAAGCAATTCACTGCCCTTCATGTGCAGTCTCCACATACTCTTGTGATAACCTCGAACATCAAGGTCGCAGATCTTGAAGCACTGAAACAATTTGCAGAATAATGTTATGGGAGTACTCTATGAAGTCCAATGAAACATCAACATATGAATTTATATCATGACTGAATATGGAGCAAAATCTCACTCAAGAAAGAAACTTCTAGTAACGCTTACTATGTTCTGCGTTGTTGCAAATACCTAATTTCAATAACTTGATACAGTACATATGTAATGGGGTACCAAAAGTGGTAGGATAAGCAAGCTCTATGAGGTGCTGCTCTCTAGAGGAACGTTATGACCATTATGCATCAGAGAAGGTAGGGTGAAGAGGAGGCCGGTGGAAGTGGCATGAGGAAGAGCATGAAGTGGTAGAAGTCAGGAGAATGGGAAGGTCGGAAGTAAGTGAGGAGGAAATATGGGGTGGAAGAGGTGGGGTGAGAAGGAGGAAGAGGGTGGGAAAGGAAGCAGGAAGAGGAGACGTGTTTGGAGGCAGAAGGCAGAGAGAGGAGGGTTAGTGCTCTCTACCAACAGCACAGCATGTCTGGAAGGTGAATAAAATGAAATGAAATGAACTCATGCAGTTCATTACGAAACCCCTGGGTTTTTAGCTCAGGATATTTTTTCAGTACATTCCCTGTTTTTAAACTATTAATGGAGGCTTTGTTTTTCATTTGAATTGTTTAGTTCATACAAACAAAAGTACCCATTCATGGTCCATGACATGGTAACTTTTCTTGTCAATGTCACAATATATAGCAGCCAAAATTACGCAGAAGGGATAACAGTCCAATAACACAAGCATATGATGAACACGCTTCATACCTTAATAAAGCATACTCATCAGATTAAAACCTGAGAATGAGGATTCCAATTTTATCCAAAACTTCATTCCTCCTTGCACGTTGCTTTAATATTTGTAGCCATTCAACCTACTGGCACAAATACAGAGTAAATTTCTTAATAGCTTTGGGTGTTATGTATTAGATTTGTTATAAGAAACAGACAAGAAAGCTACAATTTTATCTGTTACATTAAAGAACTGCATGGGAGATGCTAAGAAACAATTCAGATTTAATAAGAATTGACTACAGTAAACATGTCATTCACCTAAATTTCAATGTGCTACATGAAAAGTTTTGGGTCACTGACAATCTTACACCGGGGTCTCAGTGTACAATCAGACAAACAGAATTTCATGTAACTGTTATTTGGACTAAATTTATAAAGTCTTAACAGTGTTCTAGTTAAGATGAACTGAGGTATTCCTTTGCACAAGAATGTCTATATCTTTTGCTTCATATTAACTAAAATGCTTTCTTACACAGTGACAAAAATTATGAATATTCCATAAATTATAGAGGAATGTCAACTAAATTAAGAACAATATGCATTACCTGTCAACATGTTTAAGCTTCACATATGACAAAGTATTGAAAGAATGTTTCTTGAAGCAGACGTCTTGGAAGTAGGAATTCATGTTCAGACCTAAAGCACCGAAATGATATGTCTGAGGCACGTCTGGAATCACACACTCTCTGCCTTTCTGAACCTCAGGTAGCCGCATCCACATATCCCAGTCCCAATTCTGGACATGTAACACAAAACATAATTCTTACACTGGCATTATGATCAAGAAAGTTATTTGATCCCAAAAATGTAATCCATGTAACTGAGATAAAATTATAGTAATATATAAAAGCTAAAATTTTACCTCATTAAAATATTAATAATTGTTCTGGGAAGAATTTATAGCACTTCCTTAATTTAAGTATGATATATTTATCACGAGTGAGCAGTTAATTACAAATAATTCCAAGCCTCAAATTGTTGAAACTGCATTCACCAGTTGATAAGAGTTCCCCATCCAAACAAGAACAGAAGTAACAATGAAAACAACAAAAATGATAACAAATACAATAAAAAGCAACACAAAAAAATTATAACAATGAGAGCATAAAAGAGTATGCTTCATGAAGTTCAGAAGCTTGAGGACTTCTGAGCTACAAATAGGTACCAACTTCTTGGGAAGAAATCAGTAACCTGCATTTTCACTTAAACCATGAAGAGGAAGGCAGCAGATTCTCCATAAATGCTGATACCTATGTACTGAATGATATAGTGTCCTATTTACCTCTTTCGAGAACTCAAGTTCATATGCATATAATAAAGGTTTCCTTTATCCTTAACTGAAACCTATTTTGAATTATATGGAAAGGTTCAAGCCTGTGCCTCATCCTTTTAGATATACTCCAGTTAAAGCTCCACTAATTCTACAGTACCGAAATGTACTAAACCTTCTCAGGTGTTGACCATTTGGATTCCAGCTCATCTTTATAGAGAGATTTTTTAAGGATCCATCCGAGCCCTGGCATGTTTTCCACTCTGTATAACTCTGTATAACAAGCTTGGATCACTGCTGGTGTACTCATAACCCTGGTCATTCCAGGCGGAGATGCAGTAAAGTGTTTCGTCCTCCTCCAGCAGTCTCTTAGTCTGGCTGAAGTAACTGCAATGTACACACTGTACCAAAATTCATATTATCTGCTTACACATTTGGCAAACATTCCATTCCTTGGATCAAAATGAAGTGACTTGATGGAGCAAGGTCTTCGAAAAGCTGACAGTCTTATCACCTGGCCATGAAACGACTTCAACTTCTCTAACCTCTGTATTCATTACAGTACTCGTAAGATTTTGCAGCTGGACCTTGTCATGAACCACCTGAAACAAGTGCACAACCTCAAACCTTCTTTTTCAATTTTATGTTCCCTGTATAGGTCTCCCAAGTGATGTCTTTTCTTTACTATATTTCAATGCATTCATCCATCTCACAGTGCTACATGCCCAGCCTATTTTATTCTCCTTGATCTGACATACAGAGGTTGAAACTGTTCAAGGTTTAATCTGGTTAGGAGACAACTGATCACTATAAAACTGTATACAATCATACAGACTTTAATTGCACAGATGTAGTCAGCTCTATAAAATATTTCAGTCACTGAATGACCACTATCACATGGATACTGGAGAATAACCAGGAGTTTATTGTAGTGATAGCATTTTCATTTTCCACACAGCCATTACCCATTTCACAAGACACCAAAACCTGTAAGAGTTCTCACCTGAAGAAGTCTGGAGACACATCCATATCTTCATCCACAATAATTATGTATCTGCCATCGAGAAATATGTTGAATGTTGCTGTCAGAGAAGCCTTGTAGTGCTGAGATTCTGGCGTTCTTAACTCCAATTGGTGTGCGCTGAATTCCTCGCAGTCGAAAGAGTTTTGTCACCTCAAGAGGTTCCTCAAAGTAGCCATCAATGAAGACTGTTATCATCTCTGGATTTGCTCCATGTGCAGAGAGAAGAGACCTCAGCATCCTGCACAGACAATAATGCACTGAGAATTATATCAGAGTATTTATAAATCTGATGCTCTTAAGAGTGCATGAGGGAAGAATGAAAGTGTAAATTAATCAAACGTAGAGACAATCCTACCAGCTTTTCTGTTAGTTTAGGTTCTGCTTTTTTTTTCAGTCAAGGGGCCTGAAACTCAGTGCTTTAGTATTACCTGTACAAGGCCTGTTGCTTGCAATGACAGCCACTGGTACATCATGAACCTTATTATTCACCAGCTAAACAAAAAGAGAAAGAAGAAATTAATTATAAGTATTTTGTTATTAATTTATTGCAAAATTACAGCTGATAAAATGAAATATAAGATGACTTGTGAAATACACTTGCAAAAAACAATATGTTGGTTGAGAGGGGTATAGGAAACGTAGGTACATACATTATGACACTAAATTTCTTGGCCTGACTACTGAGAGCTCCTTGACTTGGGAAAGACATACAAGTATTGAAGAGGTGATAAATAAATTAAGCTCAGCCTGCTACATGATAAGGAACATAAAACCACTTATGTCTATATTTACCATTGAAAGTTATTTATTATTCTTACTTCCATTCAATCATGACTTAAGGCTTGATTCACTGGGGAAACTCGTCACATGCTGAAACGGTTTTTAAGATGCAGAAGAGAGTTACATGATTGATGATGGGTCGTGGTTACAGGGAATCATGTAGAGATCTCTTCAAGGAAATAAATATATACTGCCTTTAAAATCACAGTATATATATTCACTAATGATGTTTGTAATAAAAAACAGAGATAAATTTGTTACAAATAATGATTATTATGAAGTAAAAACCAGACAAAATATTAATTTACATATAAACCGGGTTAGCTTGGCCATATATGGTAAAGGAGTATATCACATGGCAGTAAAGGTTTTTAATGGACTTCCTCATAACCTCAAAGAAATCTCTAATATTCCAAAAAAGTATAAAGTTAATTTAAAGGACTTTCTGTATTCAGATTCTTTCTATACATTGGAGGAATTCTTTAAAGGATGATTGTATTATATCTGCAAAATTGAGTATTTTTTATTATACTGTTAGATAGGGATGATTTTACGCATATGTACATATATGTATTTTATGGAATGTATTTGTAGTTATTGCTTTGCTGCTATTTACTAGGTTTTTATTACTAGAGTACTATTATGTTCACGCTACAACAATGTAAGAATTGTTTTTATTTATATTAAATAATGTGCATGTTTATGTTTATTTTATTATGTACTTACTAATGTGTACGACTATATGTACATTATACTGCTTTATTTGTGACTATTTCCACATCCTACGAAACTGTTTTCTGTATGAATTTATGGAAAATGAATGAATGAATGAATGAATGAATGACAATAATGGAATTAAAATAAATGTTTTTTATTTCCCTTAATTACATTACCATAGCTACCTAAATTATTTTTGGGTTTGTTAGGAATTCTTAGTATTAATAAATTTCAAGTATTGAAGTGTCACAATGGAATTAATCATATTCCTAGACATCTTGAAATAGTTAAAAACAAAAGTTTGAAATATAAAATAATTCTGATTCCACACACAAACTGAGTGCAAATATTGAGACTTCCAAAACTATAAAAAAAATACAAATCACATAAGTAAAGAAAAAGGGAAGGCTCATTGAACAAACAGCTGGATGAAGGAAACCAGAACCGTGATGTACTGTGATGTACCGTGATGTGGTGGTGGGGTGGCGCTGGCGGGGTGGCAGCTTCACGCTTCAGTTGCTTTACCCCACCACCCCCTCAACCTACCATTCACCCTCTGGCACTCCAGACAGTGGCCGACTGAGAAGACTGCATAAAATGACGCAAAGAGGAATTTCGTCAGAGTTGTTCATACTCAAAGCTGTCGGTATAGTGATATATTTTTATCTATGGCCGCAATTAGAAACGTTAAAATTACGCCGTTATATGAAAATGAATTTTCTTACTAGCCAAATTTTCACGAAGATCTTGATCTTTATTTCATCATTTCACTTTCTATGTTTAAAATAATTTTGTGCCGTACTCTCCATGTCTTCATCTGCGAGTTGATCTGAATCCGCATTGTTCAAAAGCGCTGTATGTCCACCGCTGTTTTGCATAAAGCCGCCGATATTCCACGAGACAGAGGTAAATACAAGAACGGTGGGGAACGAGATTATGCACCTGTTTATAAGACTGTCACAGTAAATAAGCAACTTAATTATTTCTGGTGTCCTACAGTTTATTTAATCATTGTATTTAAATTAAGGTCAACAGGCTTTTTTTTTGTAAAGGATCAAGCAGGGGTGGCTAAGCATATTTTTAAGGTAAGCCAAAATATAGACTAAAAGCGGGAAGGCCCAAATTGAGTTGGTCAGAAGATGTGAAGACTGATTTACGTGAATTTAAAGCGAAGAAGGGGAGAACATGGCAAATAAAACAAAATAACGGACATCCATGGGCACAGGCATGGGGCCAATCAAGAAATAAAACTGAAGTTATGGAAGGATATATTCAAATACAAGGATCATGAACAGGGCTTGTGGCGTCATATGTTTTTCAGTACATAGGCCCACACCTCTAGGGCTTTCAGTAAAAATAGTGATAAACGGCTTAAACCTAAGCTTGTAGGCAAATGTCTTTCCCCCCGCCCCCTTGAGACTGTCAAAGTGCTATCTCTTTCTCCCCTGGCTGCGACCATGTGGATACCTGCAGTAAAGGAGGCGAAGGTTCTCAGAGGACTGTACAGCTGCCGAGTGAGTGAGTACGGGTTAATCAGTAGCAATTCCTGCATTACAGGTCAAGACGTCAGTGAAACAACTGCAGGCCGACGCCGTCAGGTAAAACTGAGTATGACCAAGTGCGTCGGGAGCACCGTGGCCTCGGAAACAGATCGTTGGACGTATTGATCGAGCGTCGCAGTGACGTCACGGCGCCGGGTCAAGATGGCGATGCTGTGGCTGATGCTAGTGGGTTTTGTGGTCACCTGTGACTGTCGTCCTGGGCAGATCGGGGACCTCGACGACGAATTCTACTTGGAGGTACGAGACCTCCTCAGCAAACATGCGGCCCACCAGGTGAGTACCCAAGTTAACTCGGTTTCCTACCTCGATGAAAACATACTGCACCATGAAGACAGTATCTTCTGCCATTCGATCTGAAACATATAAATTCCATTGCGGTTGAAATGTTTGGCAACCGGCAGCGTAGTTGGTTGAAGCACTACGCTACAAGCCGGCAGGACGCGGGTTCGATTCCCGATGAGGCCATTGGATTTTTCCAATTCACCCAATCCTTCCAGCCGCACTATAGCCCTGCGGTCGACTCAACCTCTAACAGAAATGAGTGCCAGGAATTTTCCGGGGGTAAAGGGCGGCCGGTTGAATGCCGCGTGCACCTTGGAAAATGCAGGTGAGATTGCGGTGAGGTGTCAGCCTTACGCGCCGCCCGCCCTTTACGCCCAGGAAGATTCCTGGCACTCATTTCTGTTAAAGGTTCAGTCTACTGCAGGGCCATAGTGCGGCTTGGAGGGTTAGGTCAATTGAAAACTCTAATGACATCGGGAATTGAACTCGCGACCTTTCGGCTTGAAGCATAATGCTTCAACGAACTACGCTACCGATGCACAATGAGAGAGAGAGAGAAAACAAAATGTCATTTAGGTAAATTTTTAACAGTTACACGACCTCAGCTGAACCTGCTTAGAATTATTTATTATTTCGGACTTCATCCACCGTCCGGCGCCCTTACACCTGTGTTCAGGAAACAGAACAAATCGACAAGTGATAAGTTTACGGATGGAAACCTACTTTCTTGGGATCCTCAACACTTTCTGCCTCTGTGGTCTAGTGGTTCGCGTTCCTGGCTACAGATCCCGGGTTCGATTCCCGCCGCTACCATATTTTTTTCTGAGTAGTGAGTTTGGAACGGGATCCACTCAGCCTCGTGATGATAATTGAGGAGCTATGTGAAGGAAATAGCGGCTCCGGTCTAGAAAACCGAAATTAACGTCCATGCGGATTCGTTGCGCTGACCACGCGGCACCCTCTATCCGCAAAAGTTGCCACTAAACTTCGCCGACAAGCGGCGGTCGCTCGGACGGTATAGTTCGCTTGAGGACTCAAACCACGGAGTATTTTTTTTATTCAGACGCTGAGTACATGAATCCGTTTACACCTAAGGGCCTGTTCAGCCGAAGACGAAAAGAGACCCAACATCCGAAACGATGCGGTTTCAATAAGATGAGAAGACCGGCAAAGCCCAAAAGCTCTGCTTGCTACCTGCAACCCTAAAAATATAAGCGAAATGTTCCTCCGAAACATCGGTTGACTTTTAACGGACTACATGGTGTCACAATATCGCTAAAAGCCTTACTTACTTACTCATGGACCTGAGCCCTTCTTGAGGAGAAGCCAAATCTGCAGCTACTTAAGAATTTCCCAGCATTTTATGGAACCCAAAGGTTCATTACCGTGTTCACAAGAGCCCTCCACTGGTCCCTATACTGTGACAGATCAATCCAATCCATACCATTCTATCTCTCTCAGATCCATTTTAATATTGTCCACCCACCTACGCCTTGGTCTTCCTAGTGGTCTCTTTCCTTCTGGCTTTCCCACCAATATCCTATATGCATTCCTCTTCTCCCCCATTCGTGCTACATGTCCTGCCCACCTCATCCTCCTTGACTAAAAGCCTTAATTTTGATAATTCAATTTGTCCCTTATTACATGTAGCACATGGTTGTTCAAGGTGTAGTTCGTCCATCGCCGCAACAGCAAAATCTAGAGTGATGGGACTAAGTGAACATGCGTTGTTACAGGCCCCCGTCAGCGCCCCTCGCCGCCCCCGTGAAGTGGTGGGATGGCCACGACCCCTGCCTCATCTTGGTCAGGTGACCGGGGTGGCCGTCAATTCGCGCGGCCAGCCTGTCGTCTTCCACAGGGGGCCGAGAGTCTGGGACGCAAGGTAAACCTCCACGGATCTCATAATGCCAACAATTCTTAATATTTTCCTTCCATATATCCGTATGTTAATTTTCAGGCAACGTCGAGATTGAGCAGGTAAAACTCTTACTTATTATTCGGGAGGTTTCCAGACTGAAATTTGCCCCCGAAAAACTTATCATTGTTTTTCTCAGTTCCTCCAGACGCATGCTGCGATAGTGCCTCCAATTAGGACACCTCCGTTTCCTTCCACATCCATTACCCTTCGATACTACGTAGTGTGATCTACTGACAGCGTCGTTAAACAACCTCAAATATAAATGAACAAGTAGACTAGAACTGCGAACCACAGCAGTTCACACATTCACTGCCCCTCCGCAATTAGCATAGGCCCACTCTCCACTTCTGTGCCTAACATTTGGTCTGATTCCTTTGGTTCGAAAGTGAACCTTGGTCAAGGGGAATATAGAATTATTTATAAGACTGTCGTGATAAGAAATGTACAATTTAGTTATTATTATTATTTGAATTAATGTCAGCAGTCCCTCTTAGGATGGCTCAGACATTTCATAAAGTAACCAAGAGAAAAGAAGGAAAGTCGGTACGCCTAAATTGAGATGACTGTAAGATGTAGAGAATGATTTACGAGAACTGAAAATGAAGAAATGGAATAAAAAGAGAAAACCTTCGATATANAGGTTCTCACGGAACTACACAAATGGATGCATATCCACCAAAAATCTTAGGGAAAGCCACTGTGATTATATTCATAATAACGTTCCTTTTTATTTTAAATAATTTTCTACCTAGAAAACCTTCTTAGCGCCTTAACGTCTTTAAAACTTCGCAACTGTACATAGCAGATTTGTCCATTATATCCGAATCCATTTTACTCTGATAGAAAGAATTTACGTCTATTGTAAATGAGGCCAAAGTTCCTGGAAGACCGTGGGTACGTAAGTGGTGCGCAAGCGTCTTCTGATCCCAACGCTGTTTGATTGGCTCGCAGCTGTTTTAACGCCAGCCACGACTTCCAGCACGTTGCTGAGGGCCCCATAGCTGTATCGACAGTTCTGACGCTGGACCCCGAAAGTGGAGCCGTGGTCAGCGATTGGGGCAGTAACCTGTTCTACATGCCGCATGGCATCACGGTGGACGCCGAAGATAACATCTGGGTGACGGACGTCGCGCTCCATCAGGTGTTTAAGGTTGGTAAACCTAAATATGTATTATTTAACCCATTAAGGAGCGAATTTCTTATAAGTATATGAAGATTCAGTCCGTACCTCACAGGGAACACATAAGTTTCCGTTATAAAGCACAATAGGTTAATGCTGTTTGGAGAAACAGTCGTTGTTTAATGTGAGAGCCATACGGAACACACGAATACACTCTGTACTCAGAATACAGTGTTTTAATGCTGTAAAGCAGGTGGTACGAATAGTAACCAGTGGGCTTTTAAAGGGTTAAACAGCGGAAGGAGGTCTCTAAAGGGCACTTTGCCATTGCAATTTATATTTAAGAAAATAAGATCGGTCGGTCGGGGAAAGTGCTGCTGGCTTTCATCAGAAGGAAAAATCTTTTTTCGTTTCCGGTCCAGTCGGGACTCATGACCAATTTTTTGTTCCTTCCAAAAACACATTTTCTGGTTTGAAATGCAGCCTCCTTTTGGACAAGAGCCACAGCCAACCGTCAGTTTGGCGCGGCATGAAGAAGTGACAGGTTGCAGCTGTGTGGAACAGACGCGCAACACCCTCATAAAAACAGTCATGGGATTTACGTACAAAAAGTAGGCAGGAAACTTATCTCGAGGCTCGGCGGTGGTATTAAAAAATTAATTTGTTAATCATGAGAATAATATATTATTATTGTGAGTCAGGATAGCTCGATCGGTATAGCGATGGGCTACAGGCTAGAAAGCCTAGGTTCGATTCTCGGTATGGCAATATTTTTCTCTTCTCCACGACGTCCAGACCGGCTCTGTGGCCCATCCAGCCGGCGACTTCTCCGGGGGTAAAGCGGCCGGGGCGTGAAGTCGACCAACCCGTCCATCTAGTGACGAGGTCAAGAGTGGTAGAGTTACATCTCCACTCCACCATGCGTCTTCATGGCATAGTGCTTAATTAATTAAGTACACCGACAACTTTACCCTTGTAACGTATTATTATTATGCTTAGTCTCTGAAGTTGTTTTTCCAGAACTTCTGAAATACACAGCGCGCATGCTTAGTGAAATCGTTTTTTCAGACTGTCCCTCAAGGGTTGCAATGTTTAAGGGTAGCTCAACGTACTACTCGTAGTTATCTGTGGGAACCGTGGCCAGAGATGGCAACTGATCAGCATTCCCCGCTGAACTGTCAACTAGCATTTCACCAGTTTAATTCACAGTAGGACCTGAGGAAAACCCTGAGTTGTGCCGTGCGTGTTGCAGTTCCGGCCAGGGGAAACGCGACCCGCCTTGACCTTGGGCCAGCGGTTCCGTCCAGGCGGTGGATGGACGCGCCTCTGCCAGCCGACGGCGGTGGCGGTGGCGACGTCGGGGCAGGTGTTCGTGGCTGACGGGTACTGCAACCACAGGGTGCTGACGTTCAGTCAGCGGGGTCGCCTCTTGCGTCTGATTCCTCTGCCGTCAGGTGAAATGAGAGCGGCCTTCATGCTCCTTATTAGCTGGTTTGGTTTTGCGCCTGCGCGCCAAGGGAAAGTTCCTCCAGGTTCCATTTGTACTGTGTTACGACAGCGTTTCAGTAATTTATAGTACTGCGACATTATGACCGACGAAGACAGCCACTGTTTGGTAACGACTCGATAAACAACGACAACGACAACGAAACAACATGCAACAACAAAGGAACTGTTGGAAACGATATTTTCTATTCGGTACGACCCGAAACCATGTAGCAAGTTGCCGTGGAGGTGACGATAAAGGAGACAGTAAAATATGGTCACGAGTCCCAAGTGATTCGCACCCGAAAATGACTGCGCTGGCGAGGACCAGAAGAAATTGTAAACGACAGAACCGTCCTCTCGTCAGAGAGAGCTCCTCACATCAACAAACTCGCAACTGTCTGACAGTAATAAAAATCTGGTCGTAAGCCCAGATGGGGGCTTTATTCCCAGAGAGACTGGCCGACTGACCATCGGTCGTAATATAAGACTCAGACTGAGACTCAAACCCATCTTATCGTCAATCAAGACGTTACATAAGGACTATTACCACAAGTGCTCAGTTGAAAAAAATGGATCATGAGTCTCAAGGGGCCTGTCGCCAAGACGAACTGATTGGCGGTAAACCGCCAGTCGTAAAGTGACTATGACTCTGACTCTGAAATCTGGTCTTGGGCCCCAGACGGAGCTTGACACCAAGACAGACTGGCCGACTCACCGTCGGTCGTAACATATCTTTGACTTTGACACATACAAGTCTAGGGGAGAACACAAATTGTGGTCAGGTTCTCGAGGAGACTGAAATCAGGAATGACTGTGCTGACGAAGGCCAGCAGAAATTTAGCAGCCAATCAGTAGTCCGAATGAGATGATAGGAGTCTGAAGGCTTCCAGAGCCGTCAGATGGTAAAGCGTTGTCGTGGGTCCCGTGGGGCTCGGAACCAAGAATCGCTGTGCTGGCGAGGACCAGCATCAATTTAGCAGTGAGTAGTCAGTGATCGCTAGTGATGCCATGAGAGCCCGAATTTAACGTGCAAGGTCTTTGCATTCTGCCCACAGAGAGTATTTTTGTGTTCGGTATGATTCTAATGAAGGACAGAAATTGTTTCGCTAAACAACATTAACAGGTTGATCTGTGAAGCGGAGACGCAATGTGTTTCCTGTGAGGGACGAACTGAATTCTTATATATTGTTTGGAAGGAATTCAGTCTTTAATGAGTTTATTACAGTTTGTTTCAGAGCGGCCAGCAGCACAAGCCATTAAGCAGTGGAAATTCCTCACAGGGCAGCAAGCCATAACGGAGATGTTCTGTTGCAGAATTCCTGTCGCTTCAAGTGCCGCACGGCCTGGCCCTGATGGAGACCCTAGACCTGCTGTGTATAGCGGACCGTGAGAACATGAGGGTAGTATGTCCCCGCGCTGGCCTCGTGCCCTACGCCAGCGTCCAGCCCGTCAGCATCCAGGCGCCCGATTTGGGAAGGGTATTCGGGGTGGCGGCAGCAGGTGCGTCACTTTCGGGATTAGGCCGACATCCCCTCGCGTCCTGCATACGCCTCGGATGTTAACCAATACTTAACATCATGTAGAGGCCGCGCCATAGCTCAGGCCTGCTCCTCACCGCGGCGGCCCGGGTTCGAGTCCAGGTCAGGTCATGTGGGATTTGTGGTGGCCAAAGTGGCACTGGGGCAGGTTTTCTCCGAGTACTTCAGTTTCCCTTGCCAATTCTCATTCCACCGACTGCTCCAACTGGTACAACTGTCCAACTAGTGGTCGACGTGCCAAGTGGACTCAGTCTCACCCCACCTTAAGAAATTAAAACAAATTAACAAATTACATCTTGTACTCAGAGTGTCCACAAGGAAACGGACGATTTTGAAGTACGAGTGGCTGTGTACATAGCATGAGCTAATTCTTTTAGCCTACTTCCCTTATTTTTAAAAGCAGGCTTATGAGATCACCTTTGCTGTCTGTGTATCTGTATGTGTATCCCCATGATGTATGAACCAATCTTTACGAAACTCGGTACGTAAATTATGGCACCTGCGCCCATCTCAACGGCGTGCTTCATAAATTCCTCCCATCGGTCTGTGTATGTCCCCTGATGTTGCTATTCAGTGGCACAGTGAACACGTTTCCAAGGCAAGGAATACATGCAACAATATAAGAATTGTTGCACATGTCGTTTTCTATGCTGTCCGTGTTGTATCAAGGGACAGTAGGCAATTATTTCTCCCGTATGCTCCAGAATGAAGTGGTGACATATTCAACCTCAGGAGTATATTCTTGTAAGAGGATGAGGTCGAAAGGGCCCTAAAACGTCTTTAAAACTTTTTACCTTTATAAAATAAACATTGCTGTTTTAGGTATAAACTGCCTTTGCTCGCTCGGACACTGGGATCATGGGATCGAATCCCACTCAGGCGATGGATGTTTGGTGTATGTGTTTGCGTTGTCCTGTGTGTAGGTAGCGGCCTTGCGACGGGCTGATCACTCGTCCGAGGAGCCCTACCGGCTGTGTAAAAAAGATTACGGAAGTGAATAAGAGACCCGGGCCCTGAATGGGGGCGAAGAGCCACTGTAAAAAAAATAATTCTTTAAATGAATACATATCAGTGATCTCTTGTGATCATGGGGTACTATAACACGTGGTCTGAGATGAAAATTAAGTTGCCATGGAGAAGAGGTTGTAAAGTTCAAAGCGCACGTGATGTCTCAAGAGCACTGGAGGGTATTCAATGGATTCATCTGGCTCAGGATAGTGACAAAGAACCTGAGCTTGTGAACACGACAAAGAACCTGCAGGTTACATATGAAGAGCTGGAAACTCTCGACTAGTTCAGCAACTGTCAGGGCACAGCAGCTGTTTCAATAGTTCTCAGCGTAGCGATGTACCACGAAGGTGGGTAGATTTATCTTATTATTTTGACTAAGACGAGCCGCCACTGACTGTTGCAGGGGGTGTGGTGTACGCTGTGAATGGGCCGACGTCGCCTCAGATCCCCGTGAGGGGCTTCACGCTGGACCCGAGCTCCGAAACCGCAATAGACCGTTGGGGCCCCTCAGCGGTAAGCACGGCGGGGTGAAAGGTTGTCACTAGCCGTTCCAGAACTACGAGTGCTACGCTCTGTCCAGAATATGTCTGCATATAGCTCAACTTTTCCTTACTTTTACTGCCGAATTCTTGAGCATAAAGTAAAGGTAACCCTGTAACAGGCCGTGGAGGTCCGTAGGATTGTGAGACGTCAAGGTTCCCATATTTTCTAGACAATCGGCTCATAGATGGCGGTGAGGTTGTCAGCCTTACACGCAGGCTGCTCTTTACACCCCAGAAAGATTCATGGCACTCATTTCTGTTAGCGGCTGAGTGGACCCCAGGGCCATAGTGCGGTTGTATCTTGCTTATTAATTCTCATAACTCATTTCATGAGCCGTCTGCCCTCATTCGTGCTTTTAAGACCTGTACTGTACCACTTCTATAAGCTCACCAAATGTCTGAAGTAAAATAAAACGTAACAACACACAGTAGTGAACATGACTTCTCTGCCCTTCTGTTTCAGGGGTTCCACAACCCGCACGGCATTGCAATATGCCCCAATGGTACGACAATGTACGTCACAGAGATCGGCCCCAATAAGGTGTGGAAGTTCTCTCTTGTCAGCGGAGAGAGCGTGTAACAAATGCGACGGCCACCTCAGTATCCGGACTTCAGATCCTTAAGAAACGTAAATTATAATTTATTCCGACTATCCTGACCGAGGTTATTCGTGATGATACTCAGTCTCTCCTGGCAATGTTGGGATAGTACGTCGATTAAGCGACGATATTTTCTTTCCAGTTCATCAGCCATCCTACCCCTCGACGCTGCATGATTCAGCTAGTGATGGCGTCGCAAACTGGCCCACAAACAAGATACTATTATTTATGAACTGCAGCGCCTCAGCCCATTGTGCAGAGCAACACATACCTCTCCGTTACACACAACAATGTAATGTGGGATTTTCCTGTAGAGACCCGCGGGGGTAGCTGTGAACCTATCATGTAGTGGCATAGCCAGACTATTGTGTTGTCTGATACATCTGAACAAATAAATATATTTTAGTCACCACTATATCCTGTTTATCCTTCGGAACCCTACTATGATGCCTTAGGCAACAGGAGTCCTTTCTTCAGGAGGCAGTAACAATGATTAGAAACTTACATTTAAGCTGTTACAGGATTTTATTCACATACCGGTCCGAGGCTTCTTGTGATCTTTCGTTATAAGCTTATTTTTACGGCGAGGAGTTGTTAGCCCCACGCCCAACCCCCAAGCTGGAGGACACTCCTTGTCGGCTGTCCGCGAGTGCTTATTCAATACATTCGCAGCTGCCCTGCCTATCTGCAGGCCGTTTCCTCCATCAGCAACCTGAGGATGCGCCATGCCGTGGTGACAAGGGACCCACAGACCACTAGGAAGACCAAGACGTAGGTGAGTGGATAATATTAAAATGGATCTTAGAGAGATAGGATGGGATATGGACTGGATCGATGTTACTTACGACAGGGACCAATGTAGGGCTTTTGTGGACACAGTAATGAACCTTTGGGTTCCATAAAATACTGAGAAGTTCATGAGTTGCTGCACAACTGGCGGCTTCTCAAGAAGGGCTCAGATCCATGAATGAATCATGAATGAACCGGCCTAAAATATTCAGGTTAGAAGAATGATGGCACAAAACAATTTTAACTTACGCTCTTAATATGTGGTATATTTCTTTTTATTTTTCAATTTTTATTCTTTCCAAAAATCGATGGGGGAGGGGGGCCACGTCTTGATTCTCCCCCTCCCCGTCGGCGGCCATGCTGGCTGTACATCCGACGATTCAATCCCTCTTCGCGCTAAAGCACAAAGCTATCCTGTTACGTCATTCTTAAATATGCCCGGAACATTGCGTGAGTATACAGTGTGCACTTAACAGGCACGTCCAGCAGATGGAATTATAAATGGCGTGCAGACATCCATGCTCATGCATCTTTTGCAGTTGGATCAAATATTGTGACATCATGTCCAAACGCCGGAAGTGTGCAGTCAGAGAAGCACAGCAGACATCCACTGCTGGACAACGGCTAGTAAAACACGTTTCGTGGCAACGAATGAAGCAGAGAATAACAGAGGACACTGAACAGTCCGACTTGGTGCTCTGTATTCGGTCCGCGCGAAGTTGGTTCAGCCCGAGATTCAGAGTTCCAGAGAGTAGAGACTCTTCAAGATTCATTGGACAGACATCGCTCAAGGCAGAAGAGCAGTTGAAGTTTTACCCAGACAAGATATGTTACCGAGCAACGACTGAGCAAGCTATAGTTACAGTAATCTTTGGCTACAACTTGTGTAGTACGCAATAAACCTATTCACGAATCCAACCCCCGTCTACAAGTCACTAATACACGTGAAAATATTTCAGGTATTTATTCATATAAGCTGAAAAAAAAAGCATTTATGATCTCGAGTAAAATTATATTTTAATAAAATATATATTTTATACATATGTAGAATTCAAATTTAACGCGGGCGCAAACTTCGTTGAATTGTTATAGAAAATAAGAGACTTCGGTAAAGTTCGGATGCGTCCGGATAAAGACTGCTGATTCTTCGGTAATCTTCGTGTGTGTTCGGAAAGCCACTGTTGATAGTTGAAAAATCCGCGCTTAGCGACACAAAACCTGCCAGAAAGACGCATCCCTAGGGGAACGGCCGCTAAGCTTCACGCCCTCGGAGACGGCAGACGAGGCTGCTTACCGGAGCATTCCGCAAGAGCTATGTTTCTGGAAGACATTTTGGTACCTCGCCCCATCTTAAGGTCGCTCCCCACTGCATGCGACACTTAATTACGCAATGAATATCGAACAGATTTTCTTGATCCAACAGAAATAACTCCATAAAGCAGATACCTTCTTGAGAAGCCATTAGTTGCTCAGCTGTTTAATTCGCCTAACTCATAAATACAAATTCTCGTCTGCTGTCCAAACACGTAAAAATTAAAATATACAAAACTATAATTTTTGTCCGTGGTTCTGTATGGGTATGAAACTTAGTCTTTTACATTAACGGAGGTACACAGAACTGGGGGTGTTTGAGAACAGTGTATCGAGGAAAATATTTGGACCGAAGAGAGATGAAATGATGAGAAGTTGGAGAAAACTGCATAATGAGGAGCTTCATAACTTGTACCATTCTCGAAGTGTAATTATGTAGAATGTTCAAGTCAAGGATGATGAGATGGGCAGGGCATGTAGTATGCATGCGGGAGACAGAGAATGTATACAGGATTTTGGTTGTAGAGCCAGAAGAAAAGAGAACACTAGGAAGACATAGACGAATGTCGGATGATAATATTAAAGTCGATCTTAGAGAAATAGTGTAGGGCGGTTAGGCTAGATTCATCTGGCTCAGGATATGGGCTAATGGCGGGTTCTTGCGAATCTTCGGATTTCCTAAAATGCTGGAAAATTCTTCAGTAGATTCTAAAGGGTCCTGACGGTGGTGTATACCACTCAGAATTACTGGGTTTCGGGACTTTGTCATTCCTCGGGTATTCTAAAAACTCGAGACCACAGCGTTTCGGAAACTGGACCTGATCCCATCCTCAGGTGATGGGGGAGACACCTATGAGGTTGGGCCCCTTAGAAAGAGCCAGCGTCGAGCATTAGGACAAAACTCCAGTAATTCTGAATTCTTGAGTAGCTGAGCGACTGGCGGCTTCTCAGGATGGATTCAGTTGCATGAAGTTAGTTCAGAACTTTCAGTTACGAGGAAAGTCGAGAGAGTTCTTGTGTGGCTGAACTGCTGTAAGATACTGAATGGAACTAATTGATTAGTGCACTCAGGGAATTCGAAAAAGGGGCCGTTCAACAGAAGACAGCGGTGTTAGCAGCCCGCTTCACGGAGAAGACAGCGGTGTTAGCAGCCCGCTTCACGGACATTCCTGGAACACTTGGAACGACCTTAATGAGTTTGCGCACACTCATTTGTCGCAAGGAGTTTGACTTGGCAACGGCGCCCCCAGTATAAAAGGAGGGAGCAGAAACTTTCTTTGGAGGCGAGAGGGGGGGGGAATAAAACCAAGTCATGAAACACAAAAAGGATCCAGACGCTTGTCCACCATTTTGTTTCTTTAGTGCTTAGAGAATGTGACACACTTTACGGGCAGTCAACTCAAAGATACAAATTCCAGTTCTGGAACTATGTGGGGTTTGGCGTTCTCAGAGCGATGTGACGCCGTGCAGTCTGGCCTAGATAATAGTTTTCTTCAAGCACACGCACTGGGGCGTCTCTATGGGTGCAGGACTTGCAACAGACTACGTGACTTAATATCCTAGAAGGGAAATTGTCTAAGAAATTCCGAGGAAGATCCTCCTTGAGAAGCTGATGGTTGCTCAACTATTCAAGGAAGGCCCCCCCCCCTGTATTCTTATCACGAACGTTCAGTACTGTGTTCATAAGACCCGGACAGTTGCCCATCTTGAGCCAGAATAATCCAATCCGCACCCTGCCATGCTATTTCTTCGACAGCCACCTTAATCCTAACCTCCCGTCTATCCCTAGATCTTCTAAGTGCGATATTCTATTCATTTTTTTCCGATCAAAATGTTGTACGCATTTCTCATCTCTCCCATTAGTTCTACATGTTCTGCCCATCTGACCCTCCTTGATTTAATGTGCCTATATTATTTTGCCGTAAGTACAAGTTTCGGAAAGTAAGACATTTCAATCTTACGTCTAGTTTACATGTGTTTTGGTTTGATTCTGTTTTCAACAGCCCACTTCCCTTATTTTCGCCATCTGTGAGCCGACTGTCTAGACAATGTGGGCGCCTCGACGTCTCACAACCCTATGGGCCTTCACGGCCTGGTACAGTGATAGCTTTACTTTTTTTTTTACTTTTACTTCCCTTATTTTGAAATAATAAAAGGAGGCTTATTGGATCACCTTGCTGTCTGTGTGTCTCTTTGTTTCCCTAACCCCGTTGATACTAAACGGCTCGGTTAACACGTTCCCGCGGAAACAAACGCATACGCAACAACAGAAGAAATTTTGGAGGCGATATTTTCTATACGGCCCGTGCTGTATCAAATACTCAATATGTAGTGAAATTATACTGGAAGGTTGGTGTAACTCCCGTGTGGAGGCGGGGTCGAATACCTCCACCGTGACATTGCGAGTCGTAGGAGGCGCCGAAAAGGAAAGTCTCAACTCTGAGACAGTAAAATATAGTCGCGAGTCCCAAGGGACTTGGACCCGAGAAAGGCTGCGCTGGCAAGGACCAGCAGCATATAAAAAAGATAGACCAGTCCTCTCGTCAGAGAGGGCGCCCCACAAAAAAAAAAGACCGTAATTGTCAAAGAGTAATAAATATCTGGTCATGAGTCCCAGATGGGGCTCGACACCAAGACTTACTGACTGACTGACCGTCAGTCGCAATGTGACTGTGACTTTGACTTTGGAAGTAGGTCATTAGTTCTTGTCGTTTATTGTTCTCTCCTGCTGGTGTAGTGTGACGGACGTTTACTGACGTTTCGGAAGTACGTACTACTTTCACCTTCAGGTTCGAAAAGCAAGCGAACCAAGCTGCCAATAAGAAACGCGCAGCAAGGAGGCTCGCTTGTTTGGATTACTCTCTGAACCTGAAAATGGAGACTATATTTTCCTCGAAAACGTCGGGCAGTCCCCGAAGTACAGGGCACTACAACCCATAAGACACAATTACCGCCGTGAGGACCTCAAGTCCAACATGCCGAGCGGATGGTCCCCGAAAGTTAAGTGTCATGCGTCCTCACCAAGGGCGATATAGGAAGAGATGGGCTGGATTCCGTGGCCTGTCGTCCGCAAGCGAACTATACCGACCGAGCTACCGCCGCTTGTCGGCGATGTTAGTGCCTACTTTAGCGGATAGAGGGTGTCACGTGGTCAGCGTAACAAATTCCCACGGCCGTTAATTTAGGCTCTCTAGACCGGAGCCGCCATTTCCTTGAAATAGCTCCTCAATATCATCACGAGGCTGAGTGGACCCCGTTTCAGACTAACTACTTCTCAGAAAATCCGGTAACGCCGGAATCGAACCCGGGACCTCT